AACCACATCTAATTATTCATCATTTCAAGCATTTAATTACACATAAACAGAGGAGTAAAACGGTTATGAACCAGGCTGTAAACATGTTTATTTCTGCTGAGAAAACTGGCATTTTCTAACATTGAATAACGAGACTTCTGGAGCCAGCCCCTAGCAGCTGAGGGCGGAACTGCAATTTGTATCTCTTCCATGTTGGCATCAGCTTTGGGATCTTCGGGTTTCCCCTTGGTGAAAACCAGTCTGAGCTATTAGAAAACAACAGACTTCATGAACTTTAGTCCGTGAGGCAGACACCTTGTCTACTTTTAAGAATAGGCTTAAAACTGTTTTATTTGATAGGGCTTATGGTTAAAATCTGATGTTAGCCTAGCTCTGGACAAGTGGGGGAGTAGAGGGAGGTGGAGTGTACAGTCGGTAAAGACGGCTCTCCCTTGCCCTGCTTCCAACATGCCTACATCTAAAAGGCTAGGTTATCCAGAGTTATCTCTGTAGTTATGCTGCTATAGGCTTAGACTGCTGGAGGACACACTGACCACTTTTCACACTCTACTGCTTTATTCTACAAATTGCTCTTTAACTGTATTATTTGCTGCTGTTGCAGCTGTTACCTTTATTTTTTCTCTAAGTGTTTTTCTCCCCAGAAGAAGCTACAGTGATGTTCTGCTCAGCTGTGGTGGCCTCATGGAGGGGCCCATCGTCTAGCACACTGCTGCTAACCACTAAAACATTCTTCCTCTCCTGATAATATTTTACTCTCTTTGACATTGGATGTGCTACTACTAGTTTACCCGTTTAGGATAAATACAATAAAGTTCATCTCTCGCCAAATAGAATATTTACTAAGAAATCATGATGTAACCATAGAAACACTACTTGGTATTTATGTTGTGTGTGTGTGTGTGTGTGTGTGTGTGTGTGTGTGTGTGTGTGTGTGTGTGTGTGTGTGTGTGTGTGTGTGTGTGCGCGCACGCTCTGTCTTCTTGATCCCCAGTAAGTCGTGGAGGATGGCTGCTTATACTGAGCCAGGATCCTCTGGAGGTTTCTTCCTGTTAAAAGGGAGTTTTCCTCTCTACTGTCGCTAAATGCTTACTTAGTATGAGGATTGCTGTAAAGACTCTGACGCTAGTCAGTGACATGATGCAACCTGCTGGGTTCCTTATATAGGAAACTTTACTGATTGGCTTAATGAACTGACCTGTATTGGAATGTTTACTATGTGAAGTGCCTTGAGACGACTCTTGTTGTGATTTGGCGCTTTATAAATAAACTGAATTGAGCTGCCTTTCATTCTGATGTTGATGGATGTAATTGTGAATGCAGGTCAAACGACTGACACTCTGCTGGACCTTGCATCTCACAAAAATTATGGCTGTGCCTCAATTCAGGGTCTGCATCCTTCGTCGGCCGGTTACGTCACAGCGCCACAACTTGGCCTGTAATTCGAAGACTCCTTCAAATGCGGTCGACTAATTCGGCCTTCTTTTTCCCTGAATGAAGGATGGGTCCGGTGAATCCTTCAGTGGTTTACCTTTCCCAAGATGCCTTGCGGGCCGGACGGCAGAACTTTTAAAAACAATGGCGGACAGTGAAGCGGGAGCTGTCGGAGAGGATTGTGCATATAAATGTCAGTATAAACTTGAAAACCGTTAGGTTAAGGACTTTTTGTGATACGTGAACGTTATTTTAGTTAGAAATGTTACAGTAAAAGTGCTTGTATTGCGGTCTCGGCTCGTATGTTCGGCCGCTCGGTGTCGTACTTCTCCCGCTACGTTTTCCCCCTGATTTTAATAGGAGTTTGTATTTTAGGGACAAAAGAGAAAACCAGGGAATTTATTAAGCTTAGGGTGGAGATGGACCACATGATCACTGGAGCAAAGTATTCGGCGGCTGTGGCATGGAGGTACAATAACATCTCATATTTTAAAAACTCGTTTGAGTTTATTTTTTTCTGCGAAACCATGAAAGAAATAACCCGTTGTCCTCTTTTCTCTTCCTGTTTCTTTTCTTACATGTTTGTTAAGACTATTCTGGAGAAAATGGGCATCCAGGGGAAGGTGCCAGCGATGACCAGCTTCTGGAGCTGATCAGGGAGGACATGAGGCTGCAGAGGGAGGCAGAGCAGCAGAGGGCCCAGGAGAGAAGGAAGAACTTCGACAGCCTTTTACTTTGCTAGAAAAAAATGGTTAATAAAGATTAAACATGTACATATAAAAGAAATATCTAAATAAAATCAGTTCTGCATTAAACTCTTGAATTTTATTTTTGTTTACAAATGTGAATTGTTTACTAGAGGGTATCCGCTGGGTCTTGAAAAGTCTTAAAAGGTGATAAATCAGTTTTGGTCAAATTAAGACCCTTAGAAAGTATTAAAAACTATTATCACATCTTTGCTCAGGCTCAGCTTGCCGAAAGTATTTTCTCTGAATTAGCTCTCCAACAGTCAAGGAAATGATTAAAAACTTTGAGCTCCATCGTTTAAAGTTCCTTCTCCTTTCTGCTCAGCGGTTCCACAGTTGCTAGGTGACGGAACGTTCGCCGAGGGAGAGGCGGGATTTCATGAAGGCTAGGCCTGTCCAAATTCACAGCCGTTAACATCCGGTCTACCCGGCCGACGGAGGACGCAGCCCACGTCGGCCGAATAGGCTGGGTCCTTCGAAGGATGCAGACCCTGAATTGAGACACAGCGCACATCACACACAGGGAGCCTAAGTCTCGCCCATCTACTTCTGGACCACGGGTCCCCGGAAGAACAAAAAAATGAATGCAAGTCAACGGGGCCAAAGACGCTATTTTCTAATTCCGCTTGTTATGTGCCATGGAGTGAATTTTAAAGACACATTTAGATACCAAGACAGCGCTCATTTTCGAACGGAGGGAAACAGTATTTTAGGTTTTGTGTGAAAATAAGTCCAGGACTACAAATGTGCTTCACGAAAGTCACGTCATTGAACCAGACACGGAGAAAACCAAGAGGAAAATGGCTGGAAGTTCAGCGAACTTCAAATCTTTCAGGAGGAAACAAAAACACCATAAATCTGGCCATGTGATAAGTAGCAGCTATGCTAGGGCAGACGAGATTCTGTGGTGATGTCATATATGTGACGTGCCGATGTCTGGTTCATATGATATGGACAAGTGTTGCAAATTAACACTTGTGCTAACACACTAAACAATGCATCTGGTTTGTCCAATGTCATTGCTGTGTCCCTGTCAAATGATCACATCATGCTAACTACAAAATTTTACAAGCTGATAAAGACACCTACAGGCAAAAGAATATGTCAAATAGTTTTTATAGACCTTATTAAACCACCAAGGTGCACAAAGTTGTTGAGCCTAAGAGGCTGCAAAGATTTTCTCAGAAGTCAAGCAGGTGGAACTGAGAACGCAGATGGAATAGAAGATTTATTCTGGTTAGCTATTGGTTAAATATTTTTCTTGAGTTATCAGTATATACACACAGTGGTTAAACCGGCAGAAAATGATTTTATTTACATGTAGATTACCAAATTTGATTGGGACTGTCACGAGCTTAACTGGTGGAGTCAGAGACTCTCTTGGTCAGCTTGCTTCTCACACCAAACCTTCTGTCAGGAATCTTGGCGTGACCTTTGACCCAGCTCTCACCCTGGATTCTCATGTCAGTTCTCTTGTTCGCTCTTCCTTCTTCCATCTCAGGAACATTGCTAAGCTGAGTCACATTCTGTCCCGCTCTGAACTTGAGACAGTTCTCCACACCTTCATCTCCTCACACTTAGACTACTGTAACTCTCTTTTCACGTGTCTGAGCAGAACCTCCCTGAACCGTCTACAGGTGGTTCAGAACGTCTGTGCTCAGCTTCTGACCAAGTCCTCCAAACACACCCACATCACCCCGCTTCTCCTCCAGCTTCACTGGCTGCCAGTCAACTTCAGGGTTCATTTCAACATCCTGGTTCTGGTCTATAGGGCCTTACATGGACAAGCACCATCTTACATTGGTGATCTTCTTAGTCCCTACACCCCCAGCAGGTCCCTGAGGTCCAATGATCAAAGCCTACTGGTTGTGCAGCACCAGGCTAAAGACCAAAGGTGACAGATCATTTGCTGCTGTGGCCCCCAGACTCTGGAACTCTCTCCCCCTGAGCCTGACATCAATGGACTCAGTGGTCTCCTTCAAAAAGCAGCTGAAAACTAACCCGTTCAGGCTGGTTTTTACATGACCTTCATCACCACCCTCTTCTTATTCTGCTCTTATTCCGCCCTTTCCAGTATCCACTGGTTTTCCTCTTTCCCATTCATTTTCTCTCTTCTTTTCTTACATTTTTTTTCTCCTTTTTAACATTTTTTAATCATTTTTGAAATCTTTTTATACCTACATAAGTTTTTTGTGTGAAGTGCCTTGTGATTTTTATCTTGAGAGGCGCCATATAAAATATTGCCGCCTTTGTCTTCGTCTTCTTCTTCGTCTTCTTCTTCGTCGTCTTCGTCTTCTTCTTCTTCTTCTTCTTCTTCTTCTTCTTCTTCTTCTTCTTCTTCTTCTTCTTCTTCTTCTTCTTCTTCTTCTCCTCCTCCTCCTCCTCCTCCTCCTCCTCTCACTCAGAAGTCTGGGGACCGAATCCTGCCTGGGCCTTTTCTCCACCTTGCCACAAAAGGAAGTGCAATTTAAAGTTACCACTGCCAGGATTTGAACCTATTCTGTTTGTTTCTCTGGGCTGCTTCAATAAAAACAAAACAAAGACAAAAGCAACTAAGTATTTTTGATTTGGTTATGGGTCATACAATTACAAAAAGAAATTTGGTCATATTCAGATAATGGAACATCAAAAAGGAACGTATTTGACTCGTCTTTTTTATCCTGGGCTTTTGAAGAAACCACAAAGAAATGACAAATATATTTTAACAAATGGAAAAACGTTTTTAACTAATCGCCGTTATCAGTTATGCGCGGTTTATCAAACTCTGAACACACGTGTTTTATTCTGCTCCAGCAGGTGGCGGTAGTGCATCTTTACGCTGGTCACCGACCACCGGAAAAAGCAGAAACCGGAAGCTGCTAGCAGAGCTAGCTTGTTGTTGTTCTGGTGTGTGAGGAGAATATTTGAGGCTCTGCAGTAAAAATGTCTTCACTTCAGTCTCTGGGAGAGTTGATCAGCTAAAGCGACTAACTGCTGCTGCTGCAGAAATCTTCTCACCAGGCTGTGGAAAATTTCTTCTCCTCCTCAACAACTTGGTGGAGTTCTTTCCAGAACCAGAGAAGATATTCTGCGGTCTTCGTGACAATCGGAGCTCCAGAATCAGGTTGTGGGTGAGAAAAGCTTTTCTCTAGACTTCCTGCCCTCTGGATCTGCTGCTGTTCCTTTGGCCTCTCTGAGAAACGCGCTCGTTTTGACGAGGCTGCAGTTTGCTTCCGATTCGGCAAATGGTTAAAGGGCAATTTCACCCAATTTTCCCAACTCTGACCAACTTTAATCTGCTCTAGCTCAACAACTACTACACCCACACTCTTCACACCTGTACTGGGTTATCCTACACTAATAGCAGATTGCATTAAACATAGTTTCTGAGTTGTGAAACTATAAGAAAGCCGGATTTATGCATTTGTAAAGAAAACCTGCTACCTCTTCAGGATCATCCATCAGCTGGGACTGATCCATCCTGCTCACACTCTCCGACGGAAACGCCCCGAATCTGAATGTGACTCTGGAGGAAAAAGCGGTTAGCTCTACTCCGTGAACTCAGGTGACCAAAGGTCCTCTTTTCCAGACTGGATCTGTCCTCAGCTGATCAGAACCAAAGCGTTGGATCTTTAATCTCCTGCGTTGTTCTGAAGCAGCATCTTAATCAGCTCTCCTGCTTTGTTTCTATTGCAGCTGTTAGCTAAACACGGCTAAAGAAAACCTGCTACCACTTCAGGATCATCCATCAGCTGGGACTGATTCATCGTGTGTTCTTCACCACCTGGACCTGGACAGCATGGACACAGGTACAGGTGGATGAATGAATATATTATGACTGCATGGTGGGACATTACAGTGCCTCTCCCATGAGGTGTTATCATTAAAAAATGTCCGTGTTGTGTTTTAGTCTGCTGCAGCAGCTCGGTCCGAACCTCTCTGGTTCTTTCTTCACAGAGGAGAGAAGCTCCAGAGCTTTTGAACTATTGAACAACTTTAATTTTAACACAGCGGGACTTCAAGACGAGGAGGCAGTGATTGAATTTTATCTTTGTTTGCTAAAATGATCAAACAAATGGTAAAAGAGCTCAGATGAAACTAAATGAAATTAAAAACCTGAAATCGAGAAAAAAGAAAAGAAAAATGCAAAACAATTAAAACACCTGGGTTGGTGTGTCATTAAGTTTTTCTCTAGGAAAGATGGATCTAGTTTGTGAGTGGTTGAAATCACCCTGGTTGCTAGTTTGACGTCCACAATAAGAAGAGCTGGGTTTCAGGTCCTTATACTAAATGGGTTGTCTCTGCTAGACTCGGTGGCTGACATGTCAGCAGGTTTCTCCTCACAACGTGATGAAAAGAGAGCTGAGTCGATACGCGAAGCTCTTGATTGGTTGATCTATGTTCCCACCCTCATCTATGGTCACGAGCTTGGGTAGTGTCTGAAAAAACCAGAAACAATGTCCAAAACTAGTTTTCTCCACAGGGTGTCTGGGCTTTCCCTTAGAGATAGGGTGAGAAACACCATCATCTAGGACGGGCTTGTAGAAGATCTGCTGCTCCTCCACATCGAGAGGAGCCGTTGAGGTGGCTCAGGCATCTGATTATGATGCCTCCTTGTGAGGTTTTCCGGGCACACGTTCACCCAGGAGGATACCCAAAGGAAGAGTCAGGACACGCTGGAGGGACCATGTCTCTCTGCTGGCCAAGGAACGCCTTGGGATCCCCCCCAATTGGAGCTGTCCCAAGTAGGTGGGGAGAGGGATGTTTGGGCCTGCCTGCTTAAGCTTGGTTTATGCTTGACGCATTCACTTTCCCCGCGGTGATGCGGCTCGCGGATGGAACGCGCTTCACAACTCGCAGCGTTTATGGTTCGTGCGGCTTGTCTCTGCGGTGAGCCAATATTCTCCCAAACTGAACGGGGCAGCATGGAGCTCTACGGCATGCACCCAACACTACACCATAGTAGAAGTAGAAATTACTGTTTACAACATGTCATTTCAGCATTTTTAACAGCGTTCTCGTCTTTTCCGAGCTATTTCTCTCCAAGAATTATTTACAACATGTTGATCACGGTGATCTCTGAGAGCTGAATCATACAAATGTCTGTATTTACGAACCTCTGCCTTACTAGTTCTTGCCGGTCCGCTATGTTTTTCCGCGTCCGTCCGTCCGCGTGGTTAGAAATTTTCCGAGGTGCGCGTTGCGGAAATTCTGGGCCGTGCGGAGGCGCGGTGGAGGGGCGTGGTTGTTAAGATGACGCAACTTTTCCGCGCGGAGCCGTGCGGACCTCGCAGACGCGTCAAGCATAAACCAACCTTTAGGCTGCTGCCCCCGCGGCCGACCCCGGAAAAGCGGCCGAAAATTGATAAATGGATTGATATTCCACATTTTAATGAGGGACCCTGGGCTCAGGAACACAAGCCTGAACAGGTTGATCCACAAAGTAAACCACTGAGTGTTTATAACAGTCAATTAAAGGAACAAATACAAATGAAAGTGCTAAAATAACAGCATGAATGTGTTGTGGGTACCAGAAAGTCTTATTTTGTTTTTGTTTAATTTTTGTGAGTTAAATTTCAAATCTACACGTTGTGGTTGTGCTACGCTGAGAATTCCTCTTAATCTCGAAACTGTATTTTTTATTTTTGTATATATTTGTAAGTCTATGTCTGTCTATTTTTGTCAATAACATAACCTGAACTTCAGAGTAACATGGGGTTTTGTTGGTCTGGAACTAGTAAGCCTACATTTTTTATTCACCTCCCAAGAAAAAGTCTCTCAATTCAAAAGAGTTTTCCTGTAATTTGAGTCGTTTCTGATTTCACCAACTTAAAGCATCAATCCAGGCGTCTCCAACCTTTTTGGGCTCGTGAGCTACTTAATGAAAGTACAGAAGAGCTGCCGCCATACGATGTGTTCAAGTCCATGTGTGAATGTGCTTATGTTAGTTGATTTCTCTGTATTTCAATACATCAATATTATAAAAAAGTACAAGGAAGAAAGTGAGATTCTGAAAATCAATCCCAACAAAATATTTTGTTTATTAACTAATCAGATACTTTCAGATAATGAATAACAAATATACTTTCTGTGAATGATTAACCTGTTGTCAACAATAAATGCTTTGCTGCATTTATCGCTGACATTAAAGCAGGGTTGGAGGTTTAACCTTTTTCTCTGCCTCTGGATCAGCGGGTCTGACGGATGAGCAACACAGAGCAGAGAGAGAGAGATTTAAAAATCGTGTTTTATTCCTAAATGGGACAATCAGCTGAAACTGTTGAGGAAAATTTGTTGAAACTAAATCACCGGAGATGTCCAGAGTTTGGAAGCCTGTTAATTGTGTTAATAAGCGAAGGGCATTTAATTTGCTTTAACAACATATTTACGCAGATAGGACTTTACAGAAGAGACAAAAACAGTTCAGAGGATCTTTCATGGATGTACAATCAAAGAGTCTGAGTACCTGGCCCGGAGGGTTACTGGGGTCCCACCCTGGCGCCAGGCCTGGGGTTGGGGCCCGTGAGCGAGCGCCTGGTGGCCGGGCTTCCGCTCATGGGGCCCGGCCGGGCCCAGCCCGAACTGGATACATGGGCTCATCCAACTGTGGACCCACCACCTGCAGGAGGAGCATGAAGGGTCCGGTGTAGTGTGGATCGGGTGGCAGACCGAGGCGGGAGCCTTGGCGGTCCGATCCCCTGACAAGGAAACTGGTTTTTGGGACATTGAACGTCACCTCGCTGGCGGGGAAGGAGCAGGAGCTTGTTGCAGAGGTTGAGCAGTACCGGCTAGATATAGTTGGACTCCCCTCGACAGATAGCATTGGCTCTGGAACCGAAGTCCATGAGAGGGGTTGGACACTCTCCTTTGCTGGAGTTGCTCCGGGTGAGAGGCGGAGGGCTGGGGTTGGCTTTTTGTTAGCCCCAAGACTGTCTGCCTGTGTGTTGGGGTTTTCCCCGGGGGACGAGAGGGTTGCTTCCTTGCGCCTTCGGGTCAGGGAATGGGTCCTGACTGTTGTTTGTGCTTATGGGCCAAATATCAGTTCGGTGTACCCACCCTTTTTGGAGGCCCTGGGACGAGTAGTGCTCCATCAGGGGACTCCCATTGTCCTTCTGGAGGACTTCAATGTTCACGTGGGCAATGACAGCATGACCTGGAGGGGTGTGATTGGAAGGAACGGCCCGCTTGATCTGAACTCGAGTGGTGTTTCGTTATTGGACTTCTGTACAAGCCGCAGTTTGGCCATAACGAACACCATGTTCGAACATAAGGATGCCCATCGGTACACTTGGTACCAGGGCAGCCTAGGTCGCAGGTCGATAATAGATTTTGTAGTCGTATCATCTGACCTGCGGCCGTATGTTTTGGACACCCGAGTGGAGATAGGAGTGGAGCCGTCAACTGATGGTGAGTTGGATCAGTTGGCAGGGGAAGATGCCGCGTAGACCTAGCAGACCAAAACACATAGTGAGGGTATGCTGGGAACGCCTGGCAGAAGAACCTGTCAAGACGGTCTTCAACTCCCACCTCCGGCAGAGCTTTGACCACGTCCAGAGAGCAGTGGGGGACATTGACTCTGAGTGGGCCTTGTTCCACTCTGCGATTGTTGAGGCGGTTGTTGCTAGCTGTGGTCGCAAGGTGGCCGGTGCCAGTCGTGGTGACAACCCCTGTACCCGCTGGCGGACACCAGAGGTTCGGAGAGCCATCAGGCTGAAGAATGAAGCCTACAGGGCGTGGCTGGTCTGTGGCAGCAGACAGGTACCGGATAGCCAAGCGAGGTGCAGCAGTGGCAGTTGCCGAGGCAAAATCTCAGGCGTGGGAGGAGTTTGGTGAGGCCATGGAGAAAGACTATCGATCGGCTCAGGAGAGGAAGGCAGCAACTCGCTTACACTGTTTACAGTGGGGATGGGGAGCTGCTGACATCAACTGGGGCTATAGTCGGATGGTGGAAGGAATACTTTGAGGAGCTCCTCAATCCCACCTACGCGCATTCCAAGGAGGAACCAGAGCCGGGAGACTTGGGGATGGACTGTCCAATCTCGGGGTCAGAAGTTGTTGAGGTAGTCAAACAACTACACAGCGGCGGTGCCCCGGGGGCGGATGAGATTCATCATGGGTATCTCAGGGCTATGGATGTTGTAGGGCTGTCGTGGTTGACACATCTCTACAACATTGCGTGGTCATTGGGTGCAGTTCCTGTGGAGTGGTAGACTGGGGTGGTGGTCCCCATCTTTAAGAAGGGTGACCTGAGAGTGTGTTCCTATTATAGGGGGATCACACTCCTCAGCCTCCCTGGAAAAGTCTACTCCAAGGTACTACTGGAGAGGAGGGTCCAATCGATAGTTGAATCTCAGATTGAGGAGGAGCAATGTAGTTTTCGTCCTGGCCGTGGAACTGTGGACCAGCTCTTTACCCTTGCAAGGGCGATGGAGGGGGCATGGGAGTTTGCCCAACCAATCCACATGTGTTTTGTGGATTTGGAGAAGGCTTATGACCATGTCCCCATGGGCACCCTGTGGGGGACGCTCCAGGAGTATGGGGTGGGTGGCTTTCTGTTAAGGGCCATTCAGTCCCTTTACCTGAGGAGCGTGATTTTGGTCCGCGTAGACTGTAGTAGGTTGGACCTGTTCCCGGTGAGGGTTGGACTCCGCCAGGGCTGCCCTTTGTCACCGGTTCTGTTCATTACCTTTATGGACAGAATTTCTAGGCGCAGCCGTGGAGTGGAGTGTGTCAAGTTTGGTGGCAGGAGAATCTCGTCTCTGCTTTTTACGGATGATGTGGTCTTCCTAGCTTCATCCAGCACTGACCTTCAGCTGTTGCTGGGTAGGTTCGCGGCCGAGTGTGAAGCGGCTGGGATGAGGATCAGCACCTCCAAATCTGAGACCATGGTTCTCGACCGGAAGAGGATGGCTTGCCAACTCCGGGTCGGGAGTGTAGCGTGATGAATTGTCCATTTCTGACCTAAAAGGCCCTGCTCTGTTTTACTCTGCTCAAAGCAAAACCAGAAGTTTCTGACACAAACCTAATCTGCATGAGATATTGCTCAAGGTCATGCATCTGCTTCTAAACTGTTTCTTCCTTTCCAGCTCAAGAGAAGAATGAAGACAACGTACTCTTTCTTTTAATAAATCAGAAGAACTTTATTTTTAAAAAAGCTAATGAAACAACGTGTTAGTCCAATAACAAAATGTGAACCAATCTGTGAAATGACAATGTTATGATCAGTAGTGATAATAAGTAATATAACTTTAAATATTTCCACTAGACATTCTCATCCACGTAATGTTAAGTCAGATGACACATGTCCTATTTCGGATCCAATCAGAGCCTTTCAGATCTGACGCGAGGCCTGGTTATGGTGGTGCTTATTAAATCCCCTCTTGGTGTCCCTTTTTGATTCGACCGTAAATCAAAACATCCAAATTATAAAACGATGCCCACGTCATCTTAAACTTCAGTTCAAAGCTTTCTAGAGAAGTTGTCAGAGAGGCCAATCCGTAACTTTACTCCTCAGCCGAAAGAACCTAACGACAAGCTGGATTAAATCTGTTGCAAGTTTCACCTGCTGCAACGGTTCCTTTCAAAATAAAAGCTGAAAAAGCTCATCACAACCCCTTTTTGGGTCTCGCTAGATGCCAATTAAACTTTCGTGACCCGGAAGTATCTCAAGACTGGTCTGGTCGCCAACCGCTGCTTTTCCTACCGGCTTCGGTTCCAGAGAAGGTCAAGCTGGACCTCGACATTCCTGATCTGACGGGGACTTCCGCAAAGGGTACATTGGCCAGCAGAATGGTGTCTCATTGTGTGTTAGAAATCTCCAAACCAAGCTTAGCGCGAAACGTCATCTTCACTCCCATCAGAACTAATTGTTTCTCCAGATTTGCTGGTTCTGAACAACACTCCACACTACACCATCCATCTTGCCTCATTCACACCGAGATCAATCCATCAAATAGTGTTTAGTGTTTAAAGTTAAGTCTAGTTTTAATTTGTTTAGTAATAAATCTTTTAAACTTTTAAAACTTGACTCTCTTTCTTTTGTCTCTTAGTTAATACGAAGTGGTTACATAATTCCTGCAATAAAATGTTCCAATCTTCTGGTTTAAATTATCCAAAGGTCCATAAGATTGATTTAATATTTCCTATGGAATCTCACATTTTATGGTTCAATAAATAACGTGTAAATTTAATCATTACAGGAGAGAGGTCCTACCTCAAGTGGAGGAGTTTAAGTATCTCGGGGTCTTGTTCACGAGTGAGGGAAGGAGGGATCGGGAGATCGACAGGCAGATTGGTTCGGCGTCTGCAGTGATGCGGACGCTGAGCCGATCTGCCGTGGTGAAGAGGGAGCTGAGCCAGAAAGCCAGGCTCTCGATTTACCGGTCGATCTACGTCCCAATCCTCACCTATGGTCATAAGCTTTGGGTAATGACCGAAAGACGAGATCGCGGATACAAGCGGCCGAAATGAGTTTCCTCCGTAGGGTGGCCGAGCTCAGCCTTAGAGATAGAGTGAGGAGCTCGGACATTCGGGAGGGACTCGGAGTAGACCCGCTGCTCCTCCGGATCGAAAGGAGTCAGTTGAGGTGGTTTGGGCATCTGGTCTGGATGCCTCCCTGGGGATGTGTTTCGGGCATGTCCTGCTGGCAGGAGGCCCCCTGGTCGACCCAGGACACATTGGAGAGGTTACATCTCCAATCTGGTCCGGGAATGCCTCGGGGTCCTGCCGGAGGAGCTGGTGGAGGTGGCCGGGGAGAGGACGGTCTGGAGCTCCCTAGATGTGATGCTGCCCCCGCGACCCGGATAAGCGGAGGAAGACGACGACTACTTTACAGTCGCTCACAATATTTTATTGAGGATGTTTTTCTGAAACCAGGTCTGTATGACCGACGTCACCTCGTCTTTAGAAGCACCTGCAGCCGCTGATATCAGAAACGGGGATCCGCGCTGAAACCTGAGCAATTAATCCATTCCACATATTTCCAGTAGGACACATTTGCCGAAAGATTTGTGCAATAATCAGATTTTATCTCACTTCCACAAAATGCTAATTTTACATGAGATATTACGAGAACCGGGGAAGGCTTGCCATCAAATTAGAAATCCGGCCCTTGTTAAGTACAAGTCAGGCTGGGCAGCTCACTGGCTGCTTCCAGGCCAGCGACTTTCAAGAGTTACCGGTAGCTCACGACCAACATGTTGGAGACCCCTGCAATAACACAACTCTCATATGTGTGAATTTAAAGTTACAGCAGTCTGTAATTCACGTTATGTGTTTCTGTTTCCTACAGGTGTTCAACAGATGGTGCAGGTTAAAGAAGATCCTGAAGAACAGAGTGCGGGTGTGGAACAGCAGGACCCAGAACATCTCCACATAAAGGAGGAAAATGAGGAACTCTGGACCAGTCTTAGGGGAGAGCGTCTCTGTTTGAAGGAGGAGACTGATTCTGCCTGGTTTCAGTTCAGTGCTGTTTCTATAAAGAGTGAGGATGATGAAGAGAAACCTCTGGCCTCACAGCTTCATCAGCAGCAAATAGAAGACAGAGATGTTCCAACCAGCAGCTCATCTGACCAGATGACAGCAGAAATTTGTGGAGTATCAGGAACTAGCAGGAATCCAGATCTGAACCCTCATGAACAAACATCTGATTCTTCAGAGACTGAAGTTAGTGGAGATGATGATAAGAATCTAGACTCTGGGATGTCAGACTCTGGGTCTGAAACTGGAGACGAAGACCATGACTGGAATGAGAAAAGGTCTTCTGAGTCAGATGTTAAGACAGTCAACATATCTTTTAGCTGCCTTGAGTGCGGTGAACAATTTCATGACAAGCAGTCTCTCCAGAAACATGTGAGAGTAACCAGTCATTCAGTAATCAGATCTTCCAGCTTTTGGGGTAAGAAGAAATCGGTTAGACTTAAGCAACCCGTAGACTCATATAGGGAAGTTCAGAAAGAACTAAAATCATTTAGTTGTGGTGACTGTGGAAAAATATTTAGTACAAAATCAAGTTTTAACAGACACCAGAGAATCCACACAGGACAGAAACCTTTTGTCTGTGAGCTATGTGGACAAAGATTTACCCGTAAGTCAAATTTAAACAGTCACGTGAGAGTCCACACAGGACAGAAACCTTTTTCCTGTGAGCTCTGTGAACAAAGATTTACCCGTAAGTCAAATTTAGACAGTCACATGAGAGTCCACACAGGACAGAAACCTTTTGTCTGTGAGCTCTGTGGAAAAAGATTTACCCAAAAGTCGACTTTAAGCGATCACATGAGAGTCCACACAGGACAGAAATCTTTTGTCTGTGAGCTCTGTGGAAAAAGATTTACCCAAAAGTCGCATTTAAGTGATCACATGAGAGTCCACACAGGACATAAACCTTTTGCCTGTGAGCTCTGTGGACAAAGATTTAAACAGAATTCAGGTTTAAACCATCACATGAGAATCCACACAGGGCAGAAATCTTTTGTCTGTGAGCTCTGTGGAAAAAGATTTACCCAAAAGTCGAATTTAAACACTCACATCAGAGTCCACACAGGAGATAAACCTTTTGCTTGTGAATTCTGTGGAGAAAGATATGGACAAAAGAACAATTTATTCAAGCACATGAGAATCCACACAGGATAGAAACCTTCTGTTTGTGAGCTCTGTGGACAAAATTAAAGTGACTGTGTGTACGTTCCCTGGCAATAGTGGGCAGTACAAACCTAAATGATTGCAAGCAAGCAGTATGTTTGTGTTCAAGTATGACTTGACCAATGTATGGCTATTAGGGTCAAAAACCTCTGCACTTTTCAAACATGTACTTCATCAGATCTCTGCTGTGGGGGTGGGGGTTGGGTGTTTGTGCTCCCGACTGACCCATCTTCAGTTGTGATAAGTATTTATGCTTCTGTGTTTTTACACAGCTTTTAACTCATTCACTGCCAGCCGTTTCCTGATCAGAAAGGCGCTTTGCTGTCACTTTATTTTTAAGAGTCACAGAACGTTGCGCGCTAGGATGATGCCAACACCAAAACTAACAAAACAAAGAGTAGACTCACCACTTAAATCAGGAAGAATCCGCGAGTTTCAAGCATTATCCATTTTTTCGTATTCTGTTGTTGAATTATGATCGGCAGAAGCTTTTCCGGTTCGAGCTTCACTTTTTTTACAGCAACGGTCCAAAACGATCTCCTAACACATGGATTTTCTGCTTCCTGATCACATGATGTGACATACGCAGATGAAGATCGGCTTTAGAGCTGGGATGTTTGTTCTCACGGTGAGTCCATCCATCTATCCATTTTCATCCGCTTATCTTGAGTCGGGTTGCAGGGGCAGTAGCCTAAGGCAAGAGGCCCATACTTCCCTCTCCCGGCCACTTGGGCCAGCTCCTCCAGGGGAATCCCAAGGCGTTCCCTGGCCAGGTGAGAGACATAGTCCCTCCACCGTGTCCTGGGTCTACCTTTAGGTCTCCTCGTCTCCTCCCGGTTGGACGTGCCCGGAAAGGAGGCATCCTGACCAGATGCCCGAGCCACCTGAACTGGCTCCTCTCGATATGGAGGAGCAGCAGGTCTACTCCGAGCCCCTCCCGAATGACCGCGCTTCTCACCCTATCTCTAAAGCCCGGTTTATGCTTCTCCATCAGCTCCGCAAGGGACAGACACACACGGATTGACAGAAGCGTTTTGCTCTCATACTTCTCCGTCTCCTGGAGAGTGTTGCAAAGCAATTGCCCGGCAGGACCACAGAGGGCGTAGCACTGTTCTGTGGTATCCTGTCATGTATCGGTCCAAGATGGTGTGTTTATATTGTGTTTTTTGTGTGTATAAGAGACGGAGAAGCATAAATCAGGCTTTAGGGAGAACCCAGCCACTCTTCGAAGAAAACTCATTTTGGCCGCTTGTATCCGCAATCTCGTTCTTTCGGTCACTACCGAAAGCTCATGACCAAAGGTGAGGGTAGGAACGTAGATTGACTGGTAAATCGAGAGCTTCACCTTCTGGCTCAGCTCTCTCTTCACCACGACAGACCGGTACAACACCCGCATCACTGCAGATGCAGCACCAATCCGCCTATCGATCTCATGCTCCAGTTTTCCCCTCACTCGTGAACAAGACCCCGAGATACTTAAACTCCTCCCCTTGAGGCAGGACCTCATCCCTGACCTGGAGAAGGCATTCTACCCTTTTCCGAATCAAGACCATGGTCTCAGATTTAGAGGAGCTGATTCTTATCCCAGCTGCTTCACACTCGGCTGCGAACTGCTCCAGCGAAATCTGAAGATCACGTTCTGATGAAGCCAACAGGACCACGTCATCTGCAAAAAGCAGAGACCTGATCCTCAGGGCACCAAAACGGATGCCCTCCACACCTTGGCTGTGCCTCGAAATCCTGTCCATAAAGGTTATGAACAGAATCGGTGACAAAGGGCAGCCTTGGCAGAGTCCAACTCTCACTGGGAACGAGCACGACTTACTGCCGGCAATGCGGACCAAGCTCTAACACCAGTCATACAGAGACCTAACAGCCGATATCAGAGGGCGTGGTACCCCATACTCCCGGAGTACCACCCACAGGGCCCCCCGAGGGACGCGGTCAAATGCCTTCTCCAAATCCACAAAACACATGTAGACTGGTTGGGCAAATTCCCACACACCCTCTAGGATCCCCTGACTCTGCCAGACTTTCCCTGCAGACCCTCGCAATATGTTTCGGCCTGCCTGGTCTGACCGGCATCCTCCCCCACCATCTGAGCCAACTCACCACCAGGTAGTTGTCAGTTGACAGCTCAGGTGATTCTCATTTTTTTCTATACATGGAATCCATCCTTTGCTTCAGTTTTCACCAAACACAATAAAATATAGATCCATTGCATATTATTGTTTACATCAAGGTAACTGAGCACATCCACACTAGCTGTAGGGCTAGAACCCCGTCACCAGCCGTTACCCAGAGCTGTTTCTCCATGATTTAAGCTAACAAAATAAAAACTAGGGATTTAAATATGACTACTTTAGATTATTTAACACATCTTGGTGTAGATGAACAAAAAATAAACATCTCTAAGCTAATGATGTTTAGCACAAAACTTCCAGATGAGTTTGAAATAGCTAGCTAGCTAGACGACAGTCCTCAGAACTGGCTGTCTGGAGTTCGCACAGCTGAACCGAATGAGTGTAAGGAGCATAATTATATAATAAAAGTCCTTAGATGGCAGCTATAATTTGTTAGTTTCTGGACATGTGAGGTAGATATTTTACTTTAATTCTGTCACAAGTCTGTCTCCCACTATGTGGATGGTTTAGCCACTAGAACTGCCTTTAGTTTATTTTATTAGCCGGAAACCTATAAAATTTAATTTTCTGTTCTTCATTCATCTACTTGTGCAGCCTACAGTACTGTGTGTGTTTTCTAGTTTTAGTCTTCAGTGTTTCGTATCTAATTCTATTGTTCATTTTTGTTTTGTCCTTTATTGCTGGAAAACATATTCAGTTGCCTTTGTTTGGCAAATGTGCTATATAAATAAAGCTGTCTTGTTTAGTCAAGTCTCAGTTTTTCACAAATTCCATCCTAAGCTTCAGTCCTAACCAAGATGATAAAATATGTACTTTTTAAAGATTTAAGTCACCAAGTTTGGTTAAAAAGATCTACAACAAAAAAGAAAAAACTGTCAAATTTAACTCACTTTTTGTACGTTATGTCCAGAGAACTTGTTTTCAGGGTGAATTGTCAGGTCTTCAGATAGTGACGAATCCTAAGCTTCTGTCTTAACAAAGATATGAAAATGTGAGTGTTTTTGAGATTTAATTTGTCTCTTGATTCTGCCAAACTTGTTAGATGAGAAGGAAACCAGACAAAATTAAAGATTAAAGCAGTTTTAACTATCAAATATAAAAAGTAGTACATGAGTAATGTTCCCCACAGGCATAACTGGAGACCTCTAAGCCAAAGCGAACTGCCCGTGTGTCCCTGAGGTCTGAAGAGACGGCTCTCTGATTATAGTTTTCTGTAGCCACTGTTACGGCCCAGGGCCATTTGGGTTATTTTTTTCCCGTGTGTGTGAGAGGAGATGCAGCACCTGTCTCCTATCTCACTAAATTGCCTCCCAATTAGACTCCCCCAGCTGATCCTGTTTTTGTTTAATGACGCTGTCACAAGGGAGCTAGCGCTAAGCTAACTCAGCTATTTCCTAAAAGGACTCTGTAACCTGCCGTTTTGCTAGCGCGGTGAAACCTAAGAAGCTTTTGAGGATTGTTACTGGACTGGATAACTGACGTCAGAACCCAGAAAGTCACTCTGATAAAACTATAATTTGTGCATTACCACCATCGACATACATATATGGACAATGGGTTTCCATAGACTCCAATAATAAGTTTTTGTACTAAAATGGGAGGTGGCCACCACTGCCATTTTGACCGTGTCACAGGTTCCGTCAAGCCCAGACAATTCCATAAAAGGGAAGAGAGGTGGAGCTGAGGGTGGGGCTGTAAGATCAACTGACGACACCCGGTCAAACTAGCTACAAGCTAACCTGAAGCTAACCCAAAGCTAATGCGAAGGTGGGAGCTAAGCTAACGGAGGTAGCAACCTAGCTACAACCGGAGTTAACTGTGCACAACACCAGAGCTTCTGAGTCAGAGATACGCCGGGCTGACCGCTGGGTAAAACCGGGTGGAACACAGAGGTCTCTGAGACCTCCACAAGCCGGCAGCTGCACAGCAGACAAGCGCCGCTGCGATCTTAGATGCGCAGAGCTGCCGCTGGGGAGAACCGGGTGGAAAGGTTTCCATCCCAGAGCTCCAGAAGCAGTCAGCCCGCGCAGCAGACAGAAGCCGCGATCAGACAGAGATGCACCGAGCTGCGGGGAGGCGAGAACGGGTGGAAAACATCGGTCTCCCGAGAGCTCCACTAGCCGATAGTCAGACCCCAGCTCCACCAACATGTTATATTTCAACCCATTTTCTAAAGTGCAGCATTATGTTAAATGCACTGGGTTTTACCCTATTACATTTAAATTTCATGGTTAAACAGTACATGTTAAAATCTAAGCTCAGCTCGGCAGTGACCTAAAATACATAAATACAATTTTACTTACCGAAAAAAATGAAGTGGAGACTCCTTGGACGCTCTGTTAGTGCAATTAATTCCACAGCAAGTCATTTTGTCCAACAATTGCACAAAAAAAATCCAAAAAAGAATACACAAACACAGAGACTCAAAATCCCGGAGCAGTTTCCAAGCCAGACCGAGGCTCTACTGAGGCCTTTCCACGGAGCTAGCTCTGTGGTCACGTGGGTCTGATGCTCATTAATTATACAGAATTTTAGGCTTTTAATACACTTAAAAAGAAGAGTGAGAAAAAAATTCACCCCCCTCAGAGTTGTCATGAGTGTAAACTAGATCATTTAAACAAAAAACATGTTTTGATACCAGGCTGTAAACATGTTTTTTCTGCTGCGAAATTGGTAATTTTAACATGGGAGTCAATGAGGATTTGCTCGCTTCTGACACCAGTCCCTAGTGGATGAGGGTGGAACTGCAATTTTTGGTACTTCTTGGTTGAGACCAATTTCTGAGCCGCATTGTGGGGGCTTGGTTACCACAGCTCGGACAGATGGCAAAGGAGAACCAAAGTGACCAAGAATGTAAAAATAAAAAAGACAAGACAATACAACAGTAAATGGTAGTTCCCATGTAGACACATACACAGTAAGCATTATGGATAGGGGGTTGGGAGACACTGTGGAAGTAATAATACATAAAAAGTATCGGCTGTTCTGCTACAACTACTATTTACTGTCTAAGTGATAGATATCTGTAAGTACAACCATAAACATGTACACACACATGTACAAATGTACATACATCAGGTGTATTATGCATGGAGTACTGACCGTAGAGTTAAAGTGGCTGGGTGACTCATGAATGTGTTGTAAATCCTAACTGCTGACAGGATGAATGATCTACTGAAGCGATCCTTCCTGCGGCGGGGGTGTAGCAGTCTCTGACTGAAGGAGCTGCTCAGTGCACCCACCGACTCATGCAGAGGGTGGTGTGGGTTTTTCATGATGAACGGCAGCTTGGCTAACATCTTCCTCTCGCCCACCACCACCGCAGACTCCAGAGGGCATCCCAGTACAGAGCTAGCTGCTGCTGGCCCTATCTGCACATCTGTATGGCGCGGTATGGGGGCCAAAATTAAGACTACTGCCCAGCAGCAGGAGGCTATATAAATTCCGAAGCAAACTACCGACCTGATTAATGATAAGCTGGCGCCAGTAACTGAGAGGCTGGCGCTGCTTACTGAGAAATAGCACCTTTACCGGCGTTACTAATAGATATGCTAGGGACTAGCAGCCCTCGGCTGGTCATTGACTGGTTCACACACTCCCTCTGCTGTCTATTAGCATGGATAGGCTAGCGTTAGCCTGGACGGGCTGGTGTTAGCATTGGAGAGGCTAGCCATAAGCGTGCCTAGGCTGGCCACTAGCTGACTAGTGACTCTCCGAGACATGCTAATGGCTAGCCTCTTCTATGCTAATGCCAGCCTATCCATGCTTAAGGTCCGTCAAGGGCATAGGAAATCCAGCTAGTGGCATGCCTAGGCAAGCTAATGGCTAGCCTCTCCGATGCTAACGCCAGCCTATCCATGCTAATGGTCCATCGAGGAGGTAGGAAATCCATCTAGAGGCCAGCCTAGGCACGCTAATGGCAAAGCTCTCCAATGCTAACACCAGCCCGTCCAGGCTAACGTTAGCCTATCCATGCTAATAGACAGCAGAGGGAGTGTGTGAACCAGTCAATAACCAGCCGAGGGCTGCTAGTCCCTAGCGTATCTATTAGTAACGCTGGTAAAGGTGCTATTCCTCAGTAAGCAGCGCCAGACTCTCAGTTACCGGCGCCAGCTTATCATTAATCAGATCAGTAGTTTGCTTCGGAATTTATATAGCCTCCTGCTGCTGGGCAGTAGTCTTAATTTTGGCCCCCATACCGCACCATACATCTGCTCCCCCAACAGGCCACTGCTAGGGACCGAGATGGTCAGCAGCTTCTTAGCAGCAGCTTCTCCGATCATGTCCACAGCAGCTGAGAGCATTACAGTTTTTCTCAGTTGCTTTGGTGCATTTCTCACAACAGAATTAAACTTTGCACAACAGTTAGTTCAACCTCCAAAACATGTAGTCGTTTTGGCACAACCTAGTGGCGGTTTCATGTTCATGAAGCAGTTGAGTAAGTACAAATGTATAAAGAATGGTCACTTTTGACTTTCTATTCATCACTATCTCCTTGCTTTTATCATGAATGTCACAATTATTTATACTTGTACCGGCTGAATAGTAATTGTCCTTACAACTAATAGTCTTCATTTCATTGCTTGTGCCATTGCACTCAAAATTGTTGAACATCTTGTCAAACAACTTGTACACCCATTTTGAAAAGCCTATTTTAAGGAGTTTCCATGGAAATCTCCATAAATTACTTTTCTCAGGTGGACCTTATCTCACACTAATGAAAATTGGTGTGTGTCCTGGTGACATTCGGACCAATTATGTAGTGGTTTGGGATAATGTTGGCTTCCATCACTCTGCCCTCGCTCCCTTCATTCATCATAAATGTGTAGAAAATGAAGACAGGGTTGTACTTGCACACATATTTTGGCTTCTGTGGAGCTCTACCACCAGTCACCTGTGTTTCTTTTCAAAAACGTCTCCATAATGCTCACATTGTAATGGCCTAGAGTGGCTGACTGAACTCCAAAATTAATTAAATTATTTTGTGGTCCACAAGGTATTGCTGAGGGCCCTTGGTTGGGCCGGGACCCAATTAAGAATCACTGACTTAAGTGACATAATGGTGGCCACGTCCAGCAGGATAATGCTCCATGTCATAAGGCTCAAATAATTTCAGACTGGTTTCTTGAACATGACAATGAGTTCACTGTACTCAAACGGCCTCCACAGTCACCAGACCTCAATCCAATAGAGCCCCATTGGGATGTGGTGGAACGGGAAATTTGCATGGACGTGCAGCCGACAAATCTACAGCTACTGCGTGATGTTATCATGTAAATATAAACCAACATCTCTGAGGAAACATAACATCTATGAAAGTTTCCATGTTTTCATAGAGCTCATTCCACGGAAACAGCTAGGGTCTCTAATGGCCATCTGTCTCAGTGATGCAGGGGACTGTTCTGTTCTGGTCCTGCTGGACCTGACTGCAGCCTTTGACACTGTTGACCATCACCTGCTACTGGAGAGGCTGAGAGACTGGGTAGGCCTATCAGGATCTGTTCTGAAGTGGTTCTCTTCATATCTGTCTGAGTGTTATTTCTCTGTGACTGTCTCCAATTATAGGTCCTACACCACCTTCCTCACCCATGGTGTCCCACAAGATTCTGTGCTGGGGCCTATACCCTTCCTCCTCTATCTGCTTCCTCTTCAGCACATCCTGAGCTCTTTTAAAGAAATTTCCTACCATCTTTGCGTGGATGACATCCAACTGTACATCTCCTTTTAAGCCCCATGAGATGTCTAAGCTGCACCAGGCTAAAGACCAAAGGTGACAGATCATTTGCTGCTGTGGACCCCAGACTCTGGACCTCTCTCCCTGAACCTGAGATCAGTAGATTCAGTGGTCTCCTTTAAAAAACAGCTGAAAGTTCACTTTTCCAGGCTGGTTTTTGCGTGACCTTCATCACCACCCTCTCCTTATTCTGCTCTTATTCCACATTTCCCAGGATCCACTGATTTCCCCTCCTTCCTATTAATTTTCTCTCTCGATTTCCTTACATATTTTTTTATTCAGAATTTTTATTAATTTCCTTTTTTTTTCATTTTAAACATATATTGGGGTGACGGTGGCACAGGAGTTAAGTGCTCGCCCTGTAATCAGAAGGTTGCAGGTTCAAGCCCCGCTCAGTCTGTCGCTGTCGTTGTGTCCTTGGGCAAGACACTTAACCCACGTTGCCTGCTGGTGGTGGTCGAAGGGACTGGTGGTGCCAGTGCTCGGCAGCCTCGCCTCTGTCAGTGCACCCCAGGGAAGCTGTGGCTACATCGTAGCTCATCCCCACCAGTGTGTGAATGTGTGTGTGAATGGGTGAATGACTGATTGTGTTGTAAAGCGCCTTGAGGGGTTCCATGACTCTAGAAGGCGCTATATCAAATACAGGCCATTTATATATATTTAATACGTTTTTGAAATCTTTTTTATACTTTTTTGTTTTGTTTTTGTGAAGCGCCTCGTGATTTTTATCTGAAGAGGTGCTACATAAAAGATTGTTTTCCTTCTATCTTTCAGTGCCTTGTTGAATCACGAAGGATTAAGACAGTTCTGAAAGCAAAAGGAGGTCCAACCCAGTACTAGCAAGGTGTACCCAATAAAGTGGTTTCATGAGCAACATCATAGATGTCATGTTTCTTTCTATGTGAGCCCCCGAGGACAAAACACATTTACTGATTTGTAACAAATGTTTACAAAATCTTTGCCAATTGTGAACAATGTTTTACACATTTACATCTTCACTTGTTTCCAGCAATGAAAGGGAGTTTCATGTGATTGTCATTTTGCTGGAGGTTGAACGATCTGATGAAGTACTCCTTTGAAAATTGCACTCCCAGGGATTTTTGTCCCTAATGTCCATCTGTTGCCACAATGACTTTCTTACAATGATTTAGCTATATACTGCTCCTTATAGAGCTCCGGGAGTTGACGTCACTTCTCCCGGCATGCAACAGTTCAAATCGAAACGGCGCCATATTGCCCGCAGCTGGACTATTTGTTATTGTCAGAAAACTCAATCAAACGGGAAATATGGTAGATTCCTGTTGTGCCCCAGGATGCAGAACAGGCGCGGATGACATAAGGAATGAGCCATCTACAGGATTCCCCAAGATCCAGAGCACTACAAACGTTGGATCATTGTAATAAAACACACTAGTGACCGGGCAAAAATGAAGCTGTGGGATCCCGTGAGTAAAAGTTTTCACTTATGCAGCGACCGCGTCATATCAGGTACTTAAACCAACGTTTCCTCAACTGTGTGTGGTGTTTATTTTAAATGCTTTTATTACGATTCTTAGTGGGCTTCCTAAACTTATTTTGGCGTGGCTTTTTCTGTCTTATTACTCATAACAACAAGTAAACATCACGTAAAACGTTGCCTCGTGAGTTCTGCGTGCTGCCGTTTACGTGTTTTATGATCACAGCAATTAACCGGCTAAGCTGTATTTAATTTTTAAGCAATGGTTGATCAATTGTCAGATCACACATAAAAAGCACTTTGGATTGCTATTATCTGTCTCACTGAGACAGATCTCAGACAGATCCTGAGACGCTCCTGCCTGACAAATTTATTTTATTCACGGAAAAAAATCAAACTAGTGATTTCTCTTGGCATTCAGTTTATACATTCAAACAGCACAGCACTCTAATTAAACTACTTACATGTATATCTGTTATTTGTCCATCCATCCATTTTCATTCGCTTATCCGGAGTCGGGTTGCGGGGGCAGTAGCGTCGAGAGGCCCAGACTTCCCTCTCCCCAGCCACTTGGGCCGGCTCCTCCGGGGGAACCCCAAGGCGTTCCCTGGCCAGGTCCGGTAAGAAGTCCGCTCCGACAGCTTCTGGCGTTTTTAAAAAGTATCCCAGGGGCACGGTAAGGGTCGGAGATGTTTAGTCTATTTAATTTCTGACTACATAAAACGATTTCTTCGGTTTTAAAGTGTGAAGTATACTCCGACGAAGTAAAATCCAAGCCGGTCCAGTTCAATTTGTTTACATTTGTTGCCTGCCAACATGGCGTCTACTCTATTGCTCTATTGCCAGGGAAAATACACACCTTCATTTTAAACTGTTTGAACAGATATTTTTTTAAGACTAGCAACATCATTACTGCTACTGTTTAGCTTAACTATGGCTCAGCAGGGTAACTCAAACTTTTTTTCTTTTGAAATAAAAAAATCAGCTTGCTCATCTCAGTTTGAGCCTTTGCAAAACCTGTATGATGACGACAGTCCTGGACCAGCTCACCTCAGACCTACCCAGAGTAGGTGGTGATAATACAACCATGCTTTATTGCTACTGTTACTATTATTTATCATATCCATTTTGGTTTATGTTTTGGTAGACAAGCTGGGGATAGGGACGTCTGGGCCCCTTGGCTTAGGCTGCTGCCCCTTCGCCCCGAGTCCAGATAAGTAACAGAAAATGGATAGATGGGTTTTCATTGAAGTCGTATTAATACTGGAGCCAATGCAGCAAGGGCAGCTTCAACCAGAGGAGCATTAGCAAAAAGACAGTGCTGCTTCCTCTTCCTTGTCCTCATCAGGCGCAGGCAGCAGCATGAGAAACAAACGACCCTATGTTACACACCAGGAAATGTTGACTTTTAGAAAAGGAGAAGATTAAAACGAGGCATCAGAGCTGCAGAAGGAGGAATTGCTGATGAAAAAAGAATATACAGAGTGTCAGCAACTGTTGCCAGTTAACAACTCGAATGATGTATTCCATGTGTGGAAAACAACACTCTCAAGCTTCATTCATTTACTCACGTGGCAATTACCATGTCTTCGGGTGATTTCTGCCTTTTTTACGAGAGGAAAATGTGCATAAAGGACAGGGTTTACCCTAGTACTTAAAAGCACTGGCTAAGTGTGGTCCCCCCCCCCCCCCCCCCCGCCCCCCGGCCCTACCTTCTCCGTTGACACGGATGACCCATACGAAACGAACTGCGGGCCTCCCCTACACAAATACTGACGAGAAATAGTAGCGGAGCACAGCAAAAACTCGATTTCCCCGCCACTAACGTTTTTGCGGTAAAAAAAAAAAAACAGGAAGTGTGCGCACCCCCAGTTAAACATTAGTTTATTTAAACAGGTTTTCAAAACAGTACACAAAACCTTACTGAAAATATCAAGGGCAAAATGAATGATTTTACCACACTGTCAACATTTACAAGAATATTTGTGCCTGAACACAATTATTCAGAGAAGGGGTTGTGTTTAAGGGTTTTCCTCCATCAGCCTCTAGCTTCTCTCCAAAGTTGTAACGATGATTACGGTCAAATTGTCCAGCTTTGTGCGAGGTCCATCATTAATGCAGGAAAATCTTCTTTACTGTGAGAAATAATAAAACTGAGATGCTGACCTCAGTGCACTGATTGGATCACGATGCTGCTACATTTCATGGAACAAACAGGAAGCCAGTGTAAAAAGGCCATACAGGAGTGAGATGTGGTGACGCCGTCTCCTACCTGTCTACAGGTGAGCTGCTGCCATCTGGATCATCTGCAGGTGATGGAGAGCCGACCAGAGTCTAGAGGATGTTGTAAGAGAGGAAATCAGCTCCATCTTTCCATAGTTTGTGTGAAAACACACAGAGGCAGAACCGATGGGAGCAGGTCTCTGAGCTAAAGCCACAAAACGAGCAGCAAACATCCACGTGACGTTGGGTTTTCAGAGGAATACTTTTGCTGGGTCAAATCTCTGGATGAACTTCAGAGAAACGTCCTTCAACTTGTTAGAGAGAAAACATTTGTGAAGCAAAGAAGTTTTCCAGACTTAGTGCTCATCCTAAAACTTTTATTGTATCGCTTAAACTAGGCTAGTCCACTTTTAAAAATTAAATATGGAACAAGAACACCATAGTGACACCTGGTGTATTTAAGTGTAGTGTAGCAAGAACAGAAGGTTTAAAAAAAAAGCTTTTAAATAAACTGTTATATTCAACCTTTAAGGTTTCAATAATTAACTGTCATAATGTCACTTCTTAACTGTAGAAATTCTCATTTGAAGTCAGTTATTTTGTGAGGAAAAACATTTAAACACATTATATGAATAAAATATCTAATGGGAATTTTCACACGACAGGTTAAAGAAAATTGTTGAACAAAGATTTCAATTCCTCCAGACCTGTGTATTAAACAAAAGCAGTTCTGGATTGCCTCTCAATCTGTGTGTTAATAAAACCAGGCTGAGAGGTCAGAGAAAGGTCTGTGTGTGTATGTGTATGTGTGATTTGACTCCTGATCTCCTAATGTCGTAAATAATGAATGTGCTTCACTACTCTGCTGTTTTTGGTAAATATATGTTGTGGCTTTAGCCTTTTACTGACCTCTGTGGGGTTAGACCAGGATGCGATAAAGATTCAGGGTAGACGCTGCATCTGGGATATGTTTATGGTTGGCTTAAGCAGGCCCCTGGAGAAGACAAGGAAAGGGCACGCCTCGCCCTGTTAACTGATGACCACAAGCCTGAAGAACACCAAGCAAGAGATGCTGGGAGGAGCCACAAGGCCGGGCAGAGTGCTTCCTGAAGCGGGAAGAGTTGCCATGGAGACGAACAGAAGACAAGAAGGAGGGGAAGTGGAATAATAAAAGGGGGAACCATGGGGGCCCAAGGGGGAGTTCTGAATTCTGGGAGAGTTCTGTACGAGTTCAGTGGAGCTCGGTGTTTTTTTGTCATACCCGCTGCGTGGGGGTGATTCTGTTTGGATTAATCTTTTTCATCCTATTAAATAAAAACCTTGGTTTCTTATTGTAAGAAACTTAAAAGGATTTTTGGTGCCTGGGGTCTCCGCTGGTGTCGTGTAACCGAAAAGGTGAGATGCTGCAGGTGACTAAAAGATGTGTTTGGGTTTGAACCGAGTCTTCCTTTGAGCTGCAAGCAGTGTGTTTGCCGGGATCAAAATCTAGGTTAATGGTGATCACTGATCAGCTCCTATAGTGTGCAGGCAGTTTAAAGAGCGACTGAATATCACGCCCACGCATAAACAGAAATACAAGTCAACCCTGAGACGTAACATCTGTTAAAGAGTCAGCTAGTTTGGGAAGATGGCTTGTAACAAAAATGTTCTGATGAATCTCGCTCTAGAGATCAAACATGCGAAAGACTTCTCAGCTGTGTTGTGTTTTCACGTGTTTAGTCAAGTTACCTCTTAGAGAGAAACATTTACCACAAGATTCACATGGATATGGTTTCTCACCTGTGTGGCTTCTCATGTGTTTAGTCAAGTCACTACTATTAGCAAAACATTTATTACAAGTTTTACATTGATGTGGTTTCTCACCTGTATGAGTTCTCATGTGTTTAGTCACATCACTACTGTTAGTAAAATATTTATCACAATATTTACATGGATACGGTTTTTCACCAGTGTGAGTTCTTGAGTGTTTTGTCAAGGAACCACTGTCAGCAAAACATTTACCACAAGATTCACATGTATACGGTTTCTCACCTGTGTGAGTTCTCATGTGAAGGGTTAAAAAACACTTGTACTTGAAAGATTTCCCACAGAGCTTACATGAAACAAGTTTCTGATCTCTGTGAACCCTCTTGTGCTTTTTTAGTTTCGGACTGTCTCCATGATCTTTGGTTTGTTGATGTCTTTTATTTTGAGTTTGTTTTTCATTGCTGTTTGGTTCTGAGTTTTCATTCCTGCATCCATCCTGATCTTGGTTCTTAGCTTCAGTAGAACTTTGACACAAGGGTTTGTTCTTGTTTGGTTCTGGTTCACAACGTTCTGTTTCTTCAGAAGAAGTCACCATTAAGGTAACATTCTCCTGCTTTAGAATGAACTGCCCTTCAGGCTGATGGATACAGAGCTCCTGCTGTTCCTCTTTTATCAGTGGAGGTGCTGGTTCCTTCTGGTCCAACCTGGAGGTGGTCTCTTGGTTAGAGAGCTGCTGGTCAGTCAGAATCTCCTCCTTTACACAGACATGACGCTGAAAAACTTCTGGACAGGATAAGAGAAAAGAAAACATTGATTAATGTAACCTATGGTTATGAGCTTTGGGTAATGACCAAAAGAACAAGATCGCGGATACAAGCGGCCGAAATGAGTTTTCTCCGCAAGGTGGCTGGGCTCAGCCTTAGGGATAGGGTGAGGAGCTCGGACATTTGGGAGAGACTCGGAGTAGTTGAGGTGGTTTGGACATCTTGTTAGGATGACTCCTGGATGCCTCCACAGGGAGGTGTTTCAGGCATGTCCTGCTGGCAGGAGGCCCCCTGGTCAACCTAGGACACGCTGGAGAAAGATCTCCGAACTGGCCCAGGAACACCTTGGGGTCCTACCGGAGGAGCTGGTGGAGGGACCGGGGAGAGGACGGTCTGGAACTCCCTAGTAGGGATGCTGCCCCTGCACATACACTTCCCATAAAACCAGATGCTCAAGATTGGACCTGATCTCGAGCAGTGTTGGGAGTAACGCCGTTGAAATATAACGGCATTACTAACGGCGTTCTTTTTTAGGTAACGGAATAATCTAATTAATTACTTTTCCCACTGTTGCAACGCCATTACCGTTACTGGGAACGGAAGGTTGTGCGTTACAATGTGCTTGTCGAACGTTGAGCAACAGTGTGAGGCTTTCTGACCGCCACACTTCAGCTGCAGCCAGGGAGAGAGAGGTGTCGGTAATGCACTTACAAACACGATGATGATTGGCCGGGTGAGCGGAGACCCTCAGTGTTCTCACTGTCTCAGTCGCTGCCTGCTGTAGACCCAACAGAGCAGTGATGGGAATTACGCAGTTTAAAATAACCACGTTAATAAAAAAAATATTTCTTTCTGTAACGATCAAACTAATTCCTTTCCGTCTTCTTTTAACAAAACGATCATTTCTGTTACTGATAAGGAAATGCGTGAGTTAAGCAGTGCGGTGTGTTGAAGCTGTCATCAGCTGATCAGGAACTAAAGAGGTAGATGTTTTCATCCAAGCGCATCATGGCCCGTGAAGAACGAGGAAGACGTGATGAATATCTACGGCTGCAGACCCCCCGCAGATTTGTTGCTGAAGCAGAGCATCTGCGGGTCTGCAGCCGTGTCCTTCTTAGCGTGACAGCGGGACGTCCCGAAGGTCCGCTCACCTGTTCACCGCTCAGACGTCCTGATCTTCTACCTTCCTAGATCATCCAGCTGTAACCGGTGTCTGATCACGTCTTTAGTCCCGCTGTAACACTGATGCATCAGTCTCAAACGTCATGGAGCGCAGGTGTTATTAGAACTAGGGCTGCAACTAACGATTATTTTCATAATCGATTAATCTGTCGATTATTTTTTCGATTAATCGATTAATCGGTTTGTTATTGTTTAGCTATTTAACCTATACAAGTGATGAATACATTTCAGTTAAGAAAAAGAAAAACATAAGAGAATTGTGCAGTTGACTGTAATCTATTTTATTGCACATGACCACAGTCAGCAGTGTAAAATGAGCTAAACAGTGCAAAATATCAGTCCAGAATAATTTTTTGGCATCAAAATATAAGAGGTAAATTCCATAAAAAATTATGTAGAATCTGGAATAGAGTTTGTAAGTGGTATGCATTGCTGGGGGTGAGTGTCTTGTTCCCCATGTAGTTGTCCATCGTTGCTTGTTTTTTTCTGCATAAGAAACACAAATAAACTGAATTAAGTACACATATAAAATAAAGCAGCACACACACTACAACACTAAATCAATATTACATTATTTGAATTAATTAACAATATACAGTGATCATTTATTTTGAAAAAAATGTGTTGTGAGGCGTTTTACAGCGTTAGATAGTAAAACAGCCTTTTAATAGTTAAAAAAAGGACTTTCTGAATTTCTCCTGTATTTAAAAATTGAAAGCGTACAACTATGCCGCGTTATATTCACCTGGACACAGCTCGTCTGTATTTTTTTCTCCGCGGAGTTGTCCTTTTTTGAATGAGGAACACAGTTATGGGTTTGTGCCGTTTTTCTCTTAACGAGAACATTCTTATAAACAGACGTGCTAAATTTGGCAAGCGCATGATTCACAACACGGAGGAGATTCACGATGGCATCTAGTCAATCAGAAGTAGAACACCGTAAACTGACGCGGCAAAAAAAAAAAAACATGTTTAACATCCACTATAACGAACTCAGCTAACACTAAGTCCCAAATGTGATCTGCGTTAGCTTGTTCATTTTCTGTTACTTACCGGACATTCCTCTGCTGCATCAGCCCCCATGTTTTCGTCTCAAATGTTCACTTAGCGACGTCGTGCTTCCGTCGTGCCATGGTTTTTGCATATTTTGTAGGTCACCGGTCTTTTCAAGGCATCTAGTGAAGTGCTCCCATACTCGTGAGGTTTTTGTCCGGGGTTTCTCTTGTTTTGTCGCTTCTATTTTTCTTCCATATTTGTTGTTGATCCGCCATCTCTCACAGCAAGATGCGCGTCAGTAACGTGATACGTCATGAAAACCGAGGGCACTTATTGGCTAATTTCTTCTTCTACGGCCCCACTGGTAGATCAGTGGCTCATTACTGCCACACACTGGCGGCAAATTTAACAGATTGTAACCGATGTCAGATTGTGGTAAAAAATAGACTTTATGCGGTAAAATATGATTATTAAACAACTAATCGATGACTAAAAAAGTTGTTAACTATTTTAATAATCGATTATAATCGATTAAATCGATTAGTTGTTTCAGCTCTAATTAGAACTACCTGTGTGTGTTTACCACCCAGCTTCAGCTCTTCTGTGTTTGAGTCTGACCCAAGTTAGTACATGTAAGTTCTCCATCAGGCTGGGTTGGTGCCCTCGGACTCCGTGAGGCTCTGTAATGCTGCTGCTTTGGGCCCTGGCAGGATGGGCTGGGGTCTCCATGCCCTGGGTGGCAATTTGACAACAGTGGTGCCTATTGGGGCCAGTGGGGGAGCTGGCTCCCTGGAGGGCTAAGCCCAACCAGCCATTCCTCCCCATCCCCGCATATTTCTCTCCTCCTGCTCCCTCACATCATCACACAAACATGCACATAGGACCTTGGGGGGTGGACAAGTCAGGGAGTGCGGGTATGGACCCCATTTCCGCATTCCTGTGGCAAACTGCCCCCCAATTTTATTTGCACCTTAGACACTTCCACCGACGACATTCCACGCAAACACACACTTAGGGCCTTGGGAGTGAGCACATTCAACGGCAGTTGGCAGGGGGATATCTCAGCCTCCTCCCGAGTGCCGGTGCCCACTTCCAATTTTAAACTGCACTTAGACACCGAGGGCTGTGGGTGCAAGTGGGGTGGTGCGGTGGCATCAGCTGGCATAGGCCGGACAATGCCCGCACTGCCCACTCAACACAGCCATGGAATACACCTCATCAACACACAACACTGTATTGGAGCAGGTGGAGGGTCTTAGCCACCTCTGTTGTTGCTTGGCTTCCTGGGGCTGGAGGCTAGGAGGGAGATCTGGCCGCCTGGTTGGGGTCTGGGGTGGTGGGTTGCTGTGCTCAGCGTTGGGCGGGGGAGCCTGCTCATCAGCACCCCAGCAGAAAGGGTCAAACTCTGGTAACCGGTGATGGTTGTACCCAATGTGCAGCAGTACCGGGACTAGAGTGAATAGGGTATGTATGGGCAGCATGAGTGGGTGTCCGGCATGCATTTTTGTAAGTCTTGGGTTGTATGTGCATGTGTGAGCATGAGGGAGGGAGTGTGTGACTGTATTTGTGTATGACTGTATATGTCAGGTGGGGCCGTTGACTCCTCCCATCTCCTGGGACTTCTTTTGATGATATTGATCTTCGTCTCCCCTCCCCCTGCCACACCTGGTGTGGGGTGTGGTGCCTTGGTCTGCCTGAGTGTTCGTGGCTCCCGGGTCAGGGGGTTTAAGATTTTTGGCGTCTGCCTGATCAATCCTGGTGGCTGCCTGGTGGGGTCTGGGTCCCTGGGCTCTACTGGGTCCCCGGCGGGGGTGGTCGCCCCTGGGTCCCGGGTCGCTGGGTCCCGGGCTCGACCGGCTAGGGGGTGGGAGGCTGCGGGCGGGCCTGTGGGCTTGCCGCTGATATCTCCCGGGACTCTGCTGGCTGCTGGTTGTGGCCCCCCCGGGGTGATCCTCTGTGCCTCTCGGGGGGGCTTTCTGGTTGCAGTCTCCTTGGGGTTCCTGTGTTCTGGGGCAGTGCCTGGATCTCTGGAACTTGGAGCTCCCCCCGTCTCCTACACATCTTTGGGGGGCAGATCTGTGGTTCCTCACACTCTCTATTGGATGCTCCTATAGAGAAACCTTACATAAACAAGCGCGTGTACACACACAGGTGCTCACATGGCGCTCTCAAAAATATGGACTTGGGCACGTTAAACACAGGTCTTAAGACTATGGTGGGCACTTACTGCACTGTGATTTATTATTGTGTGATTGTTCAGTTAAACAATGTTGATTATATATTTCTTCATCAAGTTGACGCAGTGATAGCTTGATCTTGTTGTATTGTTGTTGTGTCCCATTTTTTTTTTGTTTTTTTTTGTTGCTTTTTTTCTTGTCTTTTTCTGCAGGTCTAGAAGCAGACTCTTGTTCATTATTGTTTATTTTTGGGGTCTTGTTAAATATCACACAGTGCCCTTATAATAGTCTAGAGTGTAATGCTCCTGTTAATAGTTCCTCCTGTTAAGTGCTTATTTATTTAAATTATTCAGGTTTATAAAAAAACATTTGGACATACATTTTATTATGTTCCAGTCATTAGTCATTTATATTTCACTATTGTAGTAATTCTTGCATGCTTTAATGAAAAAAGTAACTAAGTAGTTATTTTTCTTGGTAATTAGTTACTTTTATAATCTTGTAACTCAGTTAGTAACTGAGCTACTTTTTTGACAAAGTAATCAGTAACTATAACTAATTACTTTTTTAAAGTAACGTTCCCAACACTGATCTCGAGTGAACATGCACACCTTTGGTTTTCATACCAAACTGCAGAGCCATCGGGCGGCAGGGGGAATCCAATGAGACCAATCACCCAAACCGAATTGACTCGACGGACATTAAGCCCAAACCCGGATCGCTAGAGACAACATAGTCTACGTGTTAGTGTTTCTTTACCACCATGGATGAATCATAATGCTTCCACTGTGTTTCATTTGAGGCGCATCCTTGTCTCCTCACATTATGCGCTGCCAACCTCTCTCTCTGCTGTCCTAGTGAGACTCATCACACTCAAATTATTAATCGACCCAAGTCCGATCCGACCCATCGGGCTTGGATTGTTCAAGCGGGGAAGAGCCATCTGAGGTCTCCACAGGACAGGAGCCCTTCAGATGAGATGCGTTCGTGTGGCTCGCATGTCACTGATTACGACGCATTTATTTGTTCTGTATTGTTGTTGCTGTACTGAAAAAAATAACGTACATAATTAACTTTTTTTTAAACACAGCCTATTACAAAAATCTTTCACCAGAGAAAACAGTATGTTTAATTTTCCAGCTTAAACGTTGCATGTTATGAGCCGACAGCTTTCCCTATGGTGCTGAAACTCGCTCCAATGGTGGCCTTATGGCAGTCATGACTTCTGAGAAAGAGACTAGTAGTTTATTTCCAGTGATTCATCACCCACCCCTGAACCTAGAATCGCCCCTCCACTGGTTGTGAGTGAGATACGGAGTAGGGTTAGGTGGATCGCAGTTTAAAGTCCGCCGTTGTGAGAGACGAGCGACGCAAAGCTAACACTCTGAGTGAAATTATTGTATTAGGGTTGACAGGATTCCCTGGGGACCACCAGCAACAGTAGCTCTTAGAAATAACCGCGATGGGTACCCACCTTGTGAAGTCTTGTTTTTGATTTGTCCCGTGTGCTACAGCTTGAAGTTTAGTGTGTGTTTGTTGTAGTTAGTGAAGAAATGTTCGTTGATATCTGTCGAGTGCCGGCTGATTGTCTTCCTTTTCCATTTCACTGTTGAGCTGTCTGTGTTAAATGTTGTTGGTGTTTGGGACTTTATGACCCATTTTAAAGAGGCCTATTCTGAAAAAGTATCGAAGTCTTAGCCAAGGTTTCTAGTGCTGTGGTATGTGCACCTGCGGGTTACGTGCCTAAGCTTACGCGTTGAGCCATGCTGCCTGACGCAGGAGTTGTTTCTCCATCTTTTGTAGTTTTTGAAGACTAGTCTTCAGGCTCCTGTAACGGCGATCTCCTGTGCTTGAGCCTGAACACTGGTTTAACTTTGGGACCGACTTGCTGAGGGCTGTGGAGCGTTGTCTCTTCAGTTGCTGCTTAGTGAATCCATTTTAGTTTCTGGGTTTTTCCTTTCAGTCTAATTGTCTGAGTTTTCAGGGTGTTTTAAGGCGACTTTGCTGTTAAGCACGGATGAACTCACCCATCGGATGAAGCTGTGAGACCAGAGGTTTCTCTTCATCATCCTCACTCTTTATAGAAACAGCAGTAACAGGAAACCCGACAGCTTCAGTCTCCTCCTTCAAACAGAGATGCTCTCCCTCCAGACTGGTCCAGAGCTCCTCCTGTTCCTCCTTTATGTGGAGGTGTTCTGGGTCCTGCTGGTCCACACCAGCACTCTGTTCTTCAGGAGCTTCTTCTTTAACCAGCACCAGCTGTGGAACATCTGTAGGAAACACATGATGTGAATTACAGACCACCGGGTCTCTGCAGGCTGCACAAGATGAGTGACAGGATGGTACGATCTGCACTGAAAGGGATTAACCGGAATTTGTCAATTGCATTTTCTTTTTACAGAGGTCCATACTCAATAAAAATGTAGGTATTCAGTCAATATTTAGTCAGCCTCTAATTGTCCAAGTTCTCCTAGCCTGTATGTTTCATCATATGTACACCTCAACTATGAGACAAAATTAGAAATAAACATCCAGAAAATCATCACATTGTCTGATTTTTAAAGAATTTATTTGCAAAGCATTTGGTGAATAACTACATTCCAGCTCAGTACTTTGGTTATAGACCCTTTGTTGGCAATGGCAGAGGTCAGGAGTTTTCTGTAACTCTTCACAAGGTTTTCACAAACTGTTGCTGGTATTTTGGCCCATTCCTCCATACGGGTCTCCTCTAGAGCCGGGATGTTTTGGGGCTGTCGCTTGGCAACACAGACTTCCAACTCCCTCCAGACTTTTTAAGAGGTTGAGATCTCGAGACTGGCCATGCCACTCCAGGACCTTGAAAAACTTCTAAAGAAGCCACCACTTCGTGTTTGGGATCATTATCATGCTGAAAGACCCAGTCATGTTTCAACTTCAAAGCCCTTGCTGATGGAAGGAGGATTTTACGAACTCTGGGTAGAGACCGAAAGAACGAGATTGCGGGTACAAGCGGCCAAAATGAGTTTTCTCTGCAGGGTGGCTGGGTGAGAAGCTCGGCCGTCCGGGAGGGACTCGGAGTAGACCCGCTGCTCCTCCACGCCAAGAGGAGCCAGTTGAGGTGGCTCGGGCATCTGGGCAGGGTGCCTCCCTGGTGAGGTTTTGCGGGCACATCCAACTGGGAGGAGACCCAAAGGAATACCCAGGACACGTTGGAGGGACTATGTCTCTCAGCTGGCCAGGGAATGCCTTGGGATTCCCCTGGAAGAGCTGGCTCAAGTAGCCGGGTGGAGGGAAGTCTGGGCGTCCCGGCCCCCTGCCCCCGCGACCCGACTCCGGATAAGCGGCTGAAATTGGATGAATGGACGAATTAAAAAAAGTTTTTGTGCTGGAGCCGGGAAACAACTAAAACATTATGGATATGGAATATCGAGGACCAGGCTTAGAGAGCTGGTGTAAAGAATCAGGATTTATTGTTTTTCCATCAATAGCTGTTGGGCCGGTCTCGGCTCAAAACATCCAGGCTGATTTTTTTGTCCCAGTCCAGCCCAGTCCCTCGAGTAGGACAGGAAAGTCCTCTTCCCGACCCTCTTCCCACATTTGCCAAAAAATATCCAGTTGTGTTCTGTATTATGGAATGTTTTTACCAAACCAATGAGACACAATAAAAAGACTGAATGTTCTGTCTTTTGCATTATTTATTCTGAGGGATCGAATCCAAAGACCTTGCCTCAGTAAGCTGAGATCAAAGGCCTTGAGCAGGAACTTACGCCGTTTACACATTAGCGTTGGTACGGTTGTGGAGGATAGCGTCAGTTCTGTCTCGAACGGCAGTGTAGTGTTCAGAGTTCTGAAGGACTTCTCAGGAATGCAGTAATCCCCGAGCCTGCGGGCGGCTTTTAAGATATATGGGAAAGTCTGTGGTGTCCTCCATAAGAAGATAAACAAAGTGAGTTGTATTGCTTTTAGAGTCTGAACCACATTATTTTATTAATTTGCTGTGTGTTGTCCTCCCCATAAAACTGTCCTCTGCTGCTGTGGGACATGGACACGGACGGACGGATGGACGCACGCACACACACGGTACTGTCTCAGCTGTTATTTTTATTAAGGAGTGTGCACATACAGCATGCGCGCCTCGTACACGAGCCTACTATTGAAGCTGCCGTTACGCTTTTGGCCTGAGGGGGCAATCGCGAGCATAAAAATTTAAAACTCCGTAAAGTCCCTTTAATAATGCATTCTTAAACCAATTTTAGTCGTTTCTGCAAACTCTTTACATGTTTTCTCTGCTTGACGCATGCCAATGATTTGACCCTTCTCAAAATAACTAACATCTTTTCCATGACGATGTGTCTTTCGACATTGTTGTTTACGAAATTACAGTCAGCCTGCTATAACTAGTGCTAACAACGAGCTAACATTAACACGAGCCAACTATTACAAAAATAAACTGTGAAGTAAAAAAAATCCACACTGCTTGACATAAAATACCTTACAAATCCAGTAGCAACAAAGCCAGGTCACCATCAGTCCTTGATTTTGTATGGAGCTGCTCTATTGCGGAAGAAAGGAAATCACGATTGTTTTCACTTAATTTAAAAATAATCAAAATCTCAATTTATTTTTAATTAACGGTGATTTTATTTATTTATTTAATCATAAGATTGCACAGGGCATAATCAGAGGAAAATTAAAAAAATATAAAAAGAAAGAAAGATAATCACAAAATGAATTTCTCATGTGAAAGAGCACATTCATTCGCTCATAGTTTAGGACTGAAAGGCTGAATGATGGTGAAGGTTCTCAGTCATCCGGTCATGGTAATCCAAAAGGGTTCAAATGAAGGCAACTGGACTTCTTTGGTTGGCTATAGGCTGAAGTTTGACTTATTTAAGCGTACCCAATACACACCCAACCAATACTCCAAATACTGAAAACAAAATAGAACTATACAGTGCAAACATCTGTAATATAGAAACATATTAACATCTATTTGGCCCTGCCCAGCGGTGTCATAGGGTAATATGTCCAGTAGCACGATGCAACATGCCGCTCAGACAGATGAACTATTATTACTCACCAGTGTGAGAAGCTGGAGGCGTGGCGTGAGCGCACGTGAAGATGAGCGAAACACTTGGCAGCCCTGATGAAATATCAATTCACTTCAGATATGGATGCCGTGTCTTGAATTTATTTAGATTGCAAAACAGTTTTTTAGCGAGTGAGCTCCACCGAGAAAAGCTTATGATTCGTCAGCTGACGAAATGTGATCACATCATTCTGTCCGGTGTTGTGAGACAGTCCGGAGCACAGCTGAGTGTTTTGCTAGCCTGCAGAGAATATCGTTGACAAAGTAAAACAGAATGTTTGTTTGAGTCCCGAGAAATGCGGCTAGGTTGTTCAATGGGTGCTTTTAGGAAATGAAAGTTAAGATGGAGGTTTGAAAAGTTGTTAGAAATAGCGACAAAGTTCCTAAGTTGGCAACGGTGTGTGGGAGGTGCGCTTGATTTGGAGTAGCGCGGGAGTAAATGGCGAGGGAGGATCTAATAATCGGCTTGTTTTGTTTTCATAATCGCTCAAAACCCAGATCGTAATTGTGATTAAAATGTGATTAATTTAGCAGCCCTAATTTTGTAGTCTCCTTCAACTCCCTCAAACTAGTGTAGGCTGAGTCGATGCTCACGCTGGTTTTAGCTCTTTGTTTTACCTCCAAAGACATTATTCACTTACTTTTACTTCCAGACTCTGCCATGACGCCAACAAAAAAGCAAACGTGTTTTTCTTCCTCTTGTGCTTTTTATTGACGATTGGCAAACTGAACAAGCTAGCTGCTTGTTCAACAACTTGCAGCTCTACAGCGCCCCCTATAGAGCACCTACCCACTCCACAGGAGTGTTAGTGCAGTATCTGGCCAGCAGAGGGCTGCAGAGCGGTGTCGTTCAGCAGTCGTCATCTCCTTGGGCAAACCTTCACCCACTTTTCTTATTGGTGGTGGTTGGAGGGACCCAGTGCAGCTGTGACTACATTGCAGCTCATCAACACCATTGTGTGAACGAGTCTGGTACTTACGAAGCACCTTAGGGGTTTTAGAACCCTAGAACCGGGCTATTCAATTCCAGTCCTGGAGGTCTGGTGTTATGTGGAAATGTGTTCCCCCCTCGAGATCTGTTTCATTTTCACCCAGCTGTGAGTTTGAACCATCCACTTGCAAAAAATGTGTGTCCTAACCCTTACCCTAACCATAACCCAGAAACAAGCATAAAAAATGTGCTACACATAATATTATTAAAATGTATATTTATGTAAAACATACATTTTTGGTGACTGGGTGGTTATGGATAGGGTGAGGGTTAGTTTTTGTGATTGGGTCGTTTCTACTTGCAGCTGGGTACAAAAGAAACAGACCTCGAGGGGGGACACACATATCGACGTAACACCGGTATCCAGCACGTTTTTGTGGTTTCTCTGATTCAACACTTGATGTACCTGTGCAGCAGCTCATCCGGCTCTGCAGAAGCTTGTTAATCATCAGCTGATTGAAATCAGGTTGAAAAAGAGTTCAAACTAAAACGTGCTGGAGACCGATCCTCCAGGCCTGGAGTTGAATGCCCCTGCCCTAGAAGGTTCATTATGAATACAGAACATTATTTAAAGATCGCACCTCATAGGAGACATACTCTTAATTTCACTACAATGTCCCACCATGCAGTGATGATATATTCATTCATCCACCAGTACCTGTGTCCATGCTGTCCAGGTCCAGGTGGTGAAGAACACACGATGAATCAGTCCCAGCTGATGGATGATCCTGAAGTGGTAGCAGGTTTTCTTTAGCCGTGTTTAGCTAACAGCTGCAATAGAAACAAAGCAGGAGAGCTGATTAAGATGCTGCTTCAGAACAACGCAGGAGATTAAAGATCCAACGCAGCAGATCCAGAGGGCAGGAAGTCTAGAGAAAAGCTTTTCTCACCCACAACCTGATTCTGGAGCTCCGATTGTCACGAAGACCGCAGAATATCTTCTCTGGTTCTGGAAAGAACTCCACCAAGTTGTTGAGGAGGAGAAGAAAGTTTCCACAGCCTGGTGAGAAGATTTCTGCAGCAGCAGCAGTTAGTCGCTTTAGCTGATCAACTCTCCCAGAGACTGAAGTGAAGACATTTTTACTGCAGAGCCTCAAATATTCTCCTCGCACACCAGAACAACAACAAGCTAGCTCTGCTAGCAGCTTCCGGTTTCTGCTTCTTCCGGTGGTTGGTGACCAGCGTAAAGGTGCTCTACCGCCACCTTCTGGACTCTCTGAGCTCTGACAAGCTGTAGAAAAGAACAAGGCTGATTGTTACACATATAACAGATTAAATAAAATACTATAATATACTACATACCAATAAAATACTCAAATATACATATTTGGTACCTGCTCATGTACGCCTGCTGTTTCTGACATGTTTAGGACCAAAGGCAACAACTTCTATGTCCTCTTCTCACAAGAGTTTCTAGAAGTTTCCTGAGGTGTCTTCTCACATGGACACCAGTGTTATGTGTCCAGTCCAGAAGGACACATGTTCTTTTAGCTTGTTGACTCACTCCTCTAGAGGGAGGTGAGGTTTGTGAATGAAAACAGCTTCTGATCAGAGGGAGGATGGCTCCAACGTTCTGACTTAGCTGGATCAGTGGTTTTCTGGCTGATTCTCATAAAACAAACTCTATTACGGTGTCCATGTTGGGACATCCTTAGATATCAGAGAAACATCTGCAGAGCTTAGATGAAGCAGCATCAGGCATCACGGCAGAAACACGTGTGTGGATTTCAGGTGAAGAGGAGGGCTAACATAAGAACTGGAGTAAAAGGTGTAATTAAACAAAAAGGTGCTTTTAATAACAAAGGTAAAACACAAATACTCAGAAAAATGACGGGGACAACTAAGGTTCTAATAATTACACAAAAGCACACGATAGACAGGGAATAACACATTAAACCTGAGGCAAAAGACCTCAGGGAGGGAAAGAAAATGTTCTAGTAATTTACTATAATATGGATGCTGTAGATACAAAAGGACTGATCCCTTATAAAAACCAAACTCAACGTCTTAACTAATCAACTTACCGAAAGAAAAACCGAGCTCTACTGTGGCGTAACAAAAGACTAGAAAAACAACAACGGTGGATATCAGAAACAGGCAACTACTAACTTAAATTCAAGCTCTAAGAGCTGAGAAAGACCAAAACTAATCAAAAACAGCTATTAAACAAAAGGATTTCACCAAAATAACTATATTATCAAAAACACCTCATATTTGAAACCGTTGGTTAGCGAGATAGCACGGCGAGAAGAATGTGAAGCTGTAGTTGTCTCTCCCGGAGAACTGACAGCTGCCGTCTTTTAAGTCATCAGCTGATGACTTGCAGCTGGAGCACTGAGAGGACGCCCAGCCTGCCTGAGGACCTGTGCATGGTCCTGAAGCCATGAAGTAAGAGGGCGCAGGCCTTCGCCCTGGATCGGGAGTCCAGCATCTCTAACACTGACTAAATAATGAGACACTGGTAAAAGATATAACTAAACAGGCTAAAATAGATCAAATTCAGCTCAAAGATATACTAGTAACCTGGCCTTAAGCACGTGAGGTCTAGGAAGCCATGGGGTCCTCTGACAGTCCGTTCCAGAGACGAGGTCCATAAAACTGGCATAACACTTCCCCTTGAGTGTATTTCCTGACTTTTAGTATGACGAGGAGACAGCTGCCAGAGGAGCGCAGACGCCGTTGTAGCATACTACCATAGGAGCCTTCACGGCCAGAGATCATCAAGATATTGAAAAACATTAAAATCTTGCTTGTCTGCAAACCCTCCACAACTACCCAGACTTTGCTGGACACAACTGTTCTTGTTCACCCGCGTCACGTGGAACAGCCACATCTTCCTTCGTACACAAGCACCATCTTACAATGGTGATCTTCTTAGTCCCTACACCTCCAGCAGGACCCTGAGGTCCAGTGATCAAAGCCTACTGGTTGTGCAGCACCAGGCTAAAGACCAAAGGTGACAGATCATCTGCTGCTGTGGCCTCCAGACTCTGGACCTCTCTCCCCCTGAGCCTGAGATCAGTGGACTCAGTGGTCTCCTTTAAAAAGCAGCTGAAGACTCACTTGTTCAAGCTGGCTTTTGTATGACCTTCTTCACCTCTCTCTCTCTATTCTGCTCTCCCCACCTATTCCACCTTCCACAGGACCCAATGGTTTCCCTCTTTCCTATTCACTCTCTCTCTTTTTTAAAAATTTTTCTTTTAAATCGCAATTGCTTATTCTTGCTCATTTTAAATATATTTTTGAACATTTTCTAAATGCTTTTTCATATTTTTACTTTTTTTTTTGTTTTTGTGAAGCGCCTCGTGATTTTTATCTTGAGAGGCGCTATAGAAATGATATTTTCTTCTTCTTTCTGCACCAACTGCCCCCCACCCCAGGAATTATCACACGCGTGATTTTCACCTCGAGAGGCGCCATATCAAAGCTAGTTTTCTTCTATGTTGCTTTCCCAGCCAGTTCCTGGAATCAACCATTCTTGGAAAACAGCACACAGACATAGCAGAGACTAAGACTTCTCTCTAAAACAGTCCTACGGCATTCTAAATGATGATTTATAGTCTTTTAACGGACTCCCGATGAGTTTTCATGTGACTATTCATGTTCCCTTTTTGAGAGAAACATTTCCCACACGTTGTACATATATATGGTTTCTCACCTGTGTGAGTTCTCATGTGACGAGTTGAAAAGGTCAAGCAATTGAAAGATTTCCCACAGAGTTTGCATGAAAACGGTTTCTTATTTCTATGAGCTTTCTTGTATCTTTTTACTTTCTGACCATCTACTTCATCTGTGATCTTTGTTCACGTCTTTTATTTCGTGACAGTTCTGCATTGCTGTTTGGTTCTGAGCTTTCATTCCTGCATCCATCCTGATCTTGGTTGTCAGCCTCAGGAGAACTCTGACACAAAGGTTGGTTCCTGTGTGGTTCTGGTTCACAGCCACCTGTTTCTTCAGAAGAAGTCATCATGAAGGTAACATTTTCCTGCTTCAGGATAAAATGCCCTTCATGCTGACGGATACAGAGTTGTTGCTGTTCCTCTTTGATCAGTTGATGTTCTGGTTCCCTCTGGCCCAAACTGGAGGTGGTCTCCTGGTTAGAGACCTGCTGGTCAGTCAGGATCTCCACCTTCTCCCAGCCATGGTGCTGTGGAAGTTCTGAACAGGATGAAAGACAAAAGAAAACATTGACTAATGGGACAATTAGGGCAATAACTCACATTATGCTGGTCAGGATCATTCCCATGACCTTAGTGAACCTTACAATTAACAGCAAATTCATTACAAATCCCAAAAGTACCGCAGCGTGACATTTGTCATGTGTGCCTTTCTGTTTTTCCCCTCACCACCCCCGTCTCAGCCTCAGGAAGCAGTGACAAAAGGAGCTGGTGTCTGTCTGGTTCTGGTCCATGGTGGTCTCTGTCCTCATCAGCAGGAGTCACAAGGGAGGTCACCGTCTCCTGCTTCAGTACAAGCTGCTCTTCATCCTGACTCATGCAGAGCTCCTCTTGTTCTAGAACCTGCAAAGGTTCTGACTTATCCTGCTCCACTTTCATCTGTGGAGGTTCTGGTCCCTCCTGTAAAGGTTCTGGTTGTTCCTGGTCCAAACTGGAGGTCCTCTCCTGGTTCCAGAGCTGCTGGTCAGTCAGAACCTCCTCATCTTTCCTGACATCATGCAGTGGGAGCAGTCTTTCACCAGTCAGGTCAGTTGCGAACTTGTTTAGTTTTGCCTGAAAGGTGCTTGTTTGCTCCGCAAGCTGGGCTGGGTCATTGCTGGGTCACAGCTAACATAGACATGAATATGTAGAAGCCACACTATGGCAGCTCCAATAGACAGCACCAGTCCACGGGGCGTCTACGTATTTATGTCCCTGATTGCTAAAATGGTGTTGTGTTCAGGTGCAATATCCGTGTGGGAATTTAGAAACTTGCATGCTTAAACAGTTTTTCAACAGTTTTTTTTTCCATTGGTGGTTGGGGGATTGGGTGAGGTGGGCCAGCTGGGTAGGGCCCGCGGGCCGGATGTGGCCCACGGGCCGCCATTTGAATAGGCTTGGTCTAAATGAAAAGAAAACAAAGAGCACGGTGAGAATACACACACACACACACACACACACACACACACACACACACACACACACACACACACACACACACACACACAGTCTCTTAGCCTGAGCCTCAGCCGTCCTTATAAGCTCCCGTGCAGATGTACATACCACTTCTATGAAGCACATAGGATAAAGAGAAGCCTTCCGTTCCTCTGGGAGGACCACATGCAACAACTCCTGCGGCAGGAAGAACCAATAAACACTAGACTCCATGCAGCTACTGCAGCGTTTTAGATGTTACTCACAGTCCGGCACGCCGGAGTCCCGTACACAATTACGCTTCACCAAGGAAGCGGAAGTTGAGCCAAAGCAAAGATTGCGGTGGCGCCACCCCAGGCTCTATTTATATTAGCACCTTCCCTCAATGATGGGTCGTCCAATTACTTGGTGGCAGATGACTAATACCACTACACTAATATAGGCTTAGGCCTAGTCCACACGTAGCCGTTTTTTTTAAAAACGAATATCCGCCCCTCCAAAAACTTGCATCCACACCACCTCGTTTTTAAAAAACTCTGTCCACACGTACCCGGATAAATACGTTGTTAAGGACATGCCAGACCTGTAGGCGGCAGTACTTCCCCCGTTCTTTACCTCGTCCTTCGTCTGTGGTCTTCCGCAAGGAGCAGTAATTCCGCTTGCAAAAACAAACAAGCAGAAAGCGCTTGGACAACTGATAAAGCGAGCGCAGCTCTGAGGGCATCCA